GGCAGGGGGAAGCAAATATTGTTTAAAAATGAACAATGATGTAAAAAATTTAAAAAATTAATATAAAAAAAGAATTAGTCAGGTCAGTAAGTTGTTTATCTGCATGAACAAAAACAAACAAGAACAAAAAATGGAAGTGCCACTTTGTACAGAAAATATCAGGTGGGGATGAAGAAGTTGAGATTAAAAAGGCATACAGGGTAAAGTTAGACTAGATTTATTTCAAAGAGATCCCAAATTTTAGTTATTTCACTCCCCTGGCAATACCAAAATAAATTTCAAGTATACATGTAAATTTAATCTTTAAATTATATGTGACAGGGTCTCCCCCGGTGGCGCAGCGGTTGAGCGCTGGGTTGCAAAGCTGCCCGCAGCCTCTGCCGCACCGGCTCGATCCCCGGCTGCTCCCCAGCCACCGGAGGAGGGTCCCCCAAGGCGCGCAGACCTCTCCTGCCGCCCGCTGCTCCCCTCAGCAGTGTACTTCGGTCCTTCTGCCTGCTCTGCTCCCCGCTTTGGCTCTGGTGAATTCTCTCACCTCCCGCGCTTCTGACTGTACCCAGTGCTTGTATAAATAAATAAATAAATCTTAAAAAAAATAAAAATAAAAAATAAATTATATGTGACCACGGTAATAGTCAAGCATGTTATTGCTGGAGCAGAAATAATTAGATGAATAAGAGGTTGGTGACATAAGAAACATGATGCTAGGACAAAAATGATTGGCGTGGTTAAGATGAAGAGCATAGGGAAAAGGTTGTCCTTTCATAGGAACACAGCTGTCCCATCTTGGGAGTCTGGGAGATTAGAGAACTGAGAGCAGATGTAGGTCCTATGTGAGAAAAAAGATAGAAAGTCTAGGAAGGTTATATTTGAACCTAATAGGACAAGATTAAATTATCTGTGGAAGAGTGGGTGACAAGTTGGAAAGAAAGCTTGCAGTAAGTGTGAAGCTTTCTGTCCCAGTGAAGCACTGGGACAATCAGTAATTTAATGGGAAAATAAACATGACAGTATTAGTAAAAAAAAACATGGGTGACAAAATAAAGCACTATAAAACTCATAAGAGGTAACATAGAAGAAAATCTGGATGATTTTGGGTAGGGTGATGACTTTTCTTAGATACAACACCAAATATATGATTCATGAAAGAAATAACTGATCAAATGGATTTCATTAAAATTTAAGATTTCTGCTCTGCAAAAGAAAATATGAGGAGAATGAGAAGACACATCACAGACTGGGAGAAATATTTGTAAAAGATCCATCTGACAACATACTACTAGCTATCCAAAATATACAAAGAGCCATTAGAACGTGAAAAAAAACAATAAATAAAACAATCCAATTCAATAGGACATCTCACCAAAGAAGATATATGCCATATATATGTATGGCAAGTAAGCATATGAAAAGGAACAACTTATCAAATGCTATCTGGGAAATGCAAGAAAGGAGATACCACTATACACATATTAGAATAACTGAAATCTGGAAAACTGAGTCAAATGCAGCCAGAACTCTTATACATTTTTGGTTGAAATACAACAGATTACAGCCACTTTAGAAAGCATTTTAACAATTTCTTATAAAACTAAACATACTCTTACCATGTTATCCAGTATTTGCAGCTTTTGGTATTTACTCAAACAAACTGAAAAAATATGTCCACATAAAACCTACACATAGCTGTTTATATTTAGCAGGTTTCGTCATAATTGCCAAAACTTGCAAGTAACCAAGATGTCCTTCAGTAGGCAACTGGACAAACAAACTGTCCTACATCTAGACAATGAAATATTCAGCATTAAAAAGCCATGAAAAGACATGAAGGAAGCTTCAATGCACATTTCTAAGTGAAAGAAGCCATTCTGGAAAGGCTACATATCGTATGATTCCAACTATATAACATTCTGGAAAAGGCAAAATTATGATTGTGGGGAGTGGGTAGGGAGATGAATAGGCAGAGCACAAAGGATTTTCAGATCAATGAAAATACTTTGTATGATATTGTAATGATGGATACATGTCATTACCTTTTTGTCCAAAGTCATAGTATATAAGACACCAAGAGTGAATCCTAAAGTGTACTACAGACTGGTGAATATGATGTGTTAATGCAGGTTCATCCTTGAAAAACCTGTATCATTCTTGGTATAAGATCTTGTTGATAATGGGGAACACTATGTATGTTTAGAGGTAGGAGATCCATGAGAAATCTCTACCTTCCTCTCAATTTTGTTATAAACCTACAACTGCTCTAAAAAAATAAAATCTGAAAAAAAAATGGGTAAAAACTGAGAGTGAACACCATAGACTCAAAGGAACACAATTGGTACAGTTGCACTATCTTCTCTAGCAACACTCTGAACACATGGTATTAGAAAAAGATAAGTAGGAATTGATCTAGGGTTCTGATTTTCTGAGTTTAACTGACCTAACTACATGAATATGAAAATGCTGAAGATTTGGGGCAAGAAAGTAATTCAGATGACATCCATTCATACATCCATTTTGCTAGGAAATGAGGCCAGGATGGAGCCAATGGAAAGGTACAAATGAAGACGAAAGGACTAGGGAGACCTGATAGCAGGACTAGATAAAAGGACTAGAGAGGCTTAAATAGCAGATACTATGTAAGGAAAGGCAAGAATGGAGTTTAAGATGAAGCGAAACAAATAAATTGCCTGATTTTATTGACATCATTGAATTAATCTCTCAAAGATGCACCACAGTTGCTAGACGCATTGAATGTGATATCTAAAGTGGAGATCCAGTAAGCATTATTTTATTTTGACTAGTGGATATGTTCAACCGAGCTATATGGAAACTATGAGTGACTAACACCAGTAAAATAAAATTTGCAAAGAATCAACATAAAAATAGAATATTACATTCTATGTCATTACAGTCATTTGCATTGCAATAGGCTTCCTCCTCCCTTGCAGAGAAAATTAAGAGGATTACAGCTGCCATTCTGCGAGCACACATGGTCCACATCCCTTCCTAGGCACCCATGGAAGTGTGTTCAGCATAGAAAGCTGTCAGCAAGTAGACTGCTGTCACAGAAAAGTTTAAGAAACCTTGGTCCAATCCCAGCCCTTCCTTTTCCAACAGAGGAACCATATTTGCCAGAAATGGACATTGTTTTTCCTGAATAACAATCGGCTCAAATAACAATTAAGAAAGAATTCACAAAGAAATTGAAGGAGAGAGAAAATACAAAATCAAGTTAAAACAGAACAAGTGAGGAAAGGGAAGCATTTGGGAATGATGGTAAAACATTTTTCATCTAAGAATGCTAAGGGGAAATGAATAGAGTGAAACAAAGGAGAGTGGGTGGAAAAAGACTAAAAATAATAAAATTTGAAAAGAATGTCAAGAAAAATGGGCTTGATTGTAGAATCTCTTCATAGAAAAAGACATACAAAGTTAATTTTGTCCTCAAATTTAAAATTACCATAATAAATCTATCAACATTCAGTACAATAAGCATTTAAGTCTCTCAGCATTCAAATATCAAATTCTGTTTTGAGTGCCTAAGTAAACAAGAGCAAGCAAGCCCATAATTATATGACTAGAAAGGATTTTGAGAGCTGAAAGAGCATGTTCTTATTTGTAAGGCTTGAGACAAACTGTTGCTTTTTTTTTTAATTTACTGCCATAAACATCACCCAAGCTTCATTTGCCAAATACAGAAACTTTGAAAGCAACTACAAGACCTACAATGTGAAGAGTGGGATAACTTGGTCCCTTCTTTCAGTGGTGAGCCCACTCTAGAGATTATGTGTTCTTGTTCATTTTCCTCTGTGCTGTAAGTCAGGCCTTATCTGGGTTGGCAAAACCTGTATATTTGGGTACGTTCAGACAGCTAGCCAATTAACTCACAGACAAGTAAGAAAATTATGGGGGAAAAATGTGCATGTGAAAAAGGACATGTATATCTGTTGTGGCCAAGACTTTATTTATTGTGGCCAAGATGAATGAATTGACAAGGTGACATTTGTATGTTTGGGTGCTCCTGTCAGCTTTAACTTTCTAGGAAATCAGAGCACAAAATTTTGTAATTATCTAAAATTAGCAAAATCAAAGATACAGTTTGATTCTACTCTAAGAATTCAAAGGTAATAAGAATATCTACAGTTACTAAAAACTACTAGAGAGGCTATTACTCTAAATAGTCTCATGCTAGTAGTCCACAACATCTTATTTCTTATCTGGAACTCCACATAACAGCACTTTGAAGGAGCCAGTATTCTCCTTATATGACATATAAGGAGACTATGATCAGGCTCCTGTGTCCCTACCAAATCCAAGCTGGTCACCAAGAGGCCTTCTTCATGGGAGTTTATGCACTCTTTGCAATTGTGCTTCATTTAGACTATTTACACATGAATAAAATTAAATCTTGCTGATGATCTGATTTCAGAGACCCCATCCTTAACCCACAACTCATACAAAGATGTTGGCAAGATTATTGTTTCTAACGGCAAGCAAATAGAAACAATCCACTTGCCCAACTGGAAACTGGTTAACAGATTATGACATAATCCTCTGCTATTAAATTAAGCTGAGCAAAAACACCTAATACAGGATGTGAGAGAAGATCTTTGTGAGCGAGTGCTAATACTGGGCAGAACTCTGGAATCAGACACTTTGGTATTGCCCTCTAGTTCTAACACTTCCAGGCTGGGAAACATTGAGTGAGTCTCTTGGCCTTAATTTCCATATATGTAACATGAGATAGTAACAACGGCTATATAACATAGGATTGTGTGAGGATCATGATTTAATAAATGCAAAGGATCTATTATTATTCCTATTATTATTACATAGGGTATTATTTTTGGTTATATTTGCTAATGTGAGGGTAGAAAAAGACTTAACAAATGCTAAAATGACTACAATTGGATATTAGTGATAAGACAAAAGTATATTTATTTCCTCCTTCAATCCTTTCCATATTTTCTAGAGTGTTCATGCTATTACAAGTGCAAGTTGCCATGTAGGATTGGATTCATGGCAGGTCTAATCTCTGGGCCTCTCATAATGCCCCATGCCAGAGCAAATCGGGGCCCTGAACAATTTCCTGGTCTCTGTGCTTGTACATGGTGGGCACTGAAGCAGCTCACACAGTGGGGAAAAAAGTAGAAGTTGTTCTCACAACTTTAGTGCTTGCTTAAAATAAGCAATTTATTGAGATTCCCTTTAATGTGTAATAAACACGGATGTTAGAAAACTGAGGCAGATTACAAAAACCCAGTAGTGAAATAACTACAGCACAACATTAAAAAAAAGTAATTTTGAAAATGGTATGGAAATCATCATGATGAAAGAAGCTTGACTCTTTTAAGTAAGGAGCTGATCTAGCTGACAAAACATATTTGTTTGCAATAAAAACTGGAAAACAAAGGAACCAACAGTTAATACTCATTTCAATCTCCCTTTTATTTAAATATATAGCTATCAAAAAGATAACTTTCTAGTTTCTTTGGAAAATTTAACCTTTACCTAACAACACTGGCATAAGTTTCAATCATATCAGGTCAATAAAATTTTGTAAGTTTAACAAATCTCCAAGTATTGTTTTATAAAATAATCGCACAAGGTAACCTAAGGAACCTGTAACCACTTTTTGCAAACTACAAAATCTCCTAGGATGCCTCCATCACCCTCCATTCATTCTGTGTCATGTAATCACCTAAAACCTCCCATTGAGTCTTGCTTCTGGAACATTAATGAGCACATTATGAGTGTATTTTTTCATGCCTCTGTGGATGACCAGGCTATTGTATTACTTTGATTTTCAAAATGACTCCTAAAGTATTCCTTCTCATTCTATCCCAGAATTTGCTCAATTGCTTGTGTATGTGTTATTTCTAGCACATGCACAGCTATTTCTGAATAGTTCACTGAAAGTGAGCTGCTTATTCTCAGAGCTTACTCACCTAAACCTCTCCAAGATCCAAGCCATTAACTATGATGAAAATCAGGGCTCTACTTTTTCCACTTTTTTCCTGTGTATCTTTTCCATGTGCAGAGCTTCCTTTGAAGTTAATGGGAGCCCTCCATGTGGAAGAGATTCCAAATGATACAAAGCAGAATGAGAACTAAGCCCATCATCTATTTCTCACATTCAAGGACAAAAATACACACGCACTCACAAGAGAAAAGACACTTCACGATTAGCCAGGACTTAGTAGAATTTGGATAAATTTACTAAAAATAATACACAGAGCTTCTTGGGGAGAGGAAAAAGAAACATCTTAGTAAATATTTACTAATTCACTTACTAGAGAGTTAGTGAGTACCATGCATGTGTCAGGGAGCACACTGGAAATAAAAGGATAAGCCAAAATCAATAAATATATATACAAACAAACAAAACCAGGCTAGTCCGTGACCTTCAGGAGCTGATAGGCAAATACAGGGACAGACACTAAGCAAAAACTCACACAGATAAAAGTAAAAACAGGTGGTTTTGGTGCTGCCAAGGAGTGGCTCTGACTTGCATGGTATATCAGAAGAGATGTGTTTGAAGATTTGAGCACTGGCACTAAAATCTGAAGGGGGTGGGGGTGGGGTGGCCACAGCATAGAAAGCAAGTGTGACCCTCATGCAAGATGAGCTTGCAGAGAAAGCAAACTGTGCTTGGCCATGTAATTTATGTGAAGAAATTTGGTCTTCATCCTGAGAGAAACGGGAAGGCTTTGAAGTGTTTAAAGAAGGTCAGAAACATAAGATTTGCATCATGAAAAGTTCCCTCCCGGCTCTAGTTTAGTGAAGAGATTAGAGAGAGAGGAGAGAAGACACTGGGACATCACGTAAAATCCTAAGTCCTAAATGATCGCACCTTTGACAAAGTGGTGGATACAGATACAAAAGAGAAATGGGCTGCTTTGAGAAAAATTCAGGAAGAAAAATTAATGACTGATAATTTGGAGACAGAAGGTGAGGTGTCAAGTATGACACTAAGACCGGACAGACTCTAGAGGCATATTCTTTGAGCAAGAGGGTACGAGAACTATGTTCAGAGAGGAGAGATGTCATGGGTTCAGTCTGTCCATGTCAAGATGTGAAGAAGTGATGTTCATAGCAGCATTATTCACAACAGTCAAGAGTTGGAAACAACCTAAGTGCCCATCAACAAATGATCAGATAAAGTTATAGGTACATAATGAATACTATTCAACTATTTTTTTAAAAAAATGAAATTCTGCCATCTGTAACACCTAGTGCCTCTAGTATGGAACTAGAGGGTATTATGCTAAATGAAATAAGTCAAATGAAGAAAAATAAACACTGTGTTTACTCACATGTGGCAGATAAAGAAACAAGAAAGTGAACTAAGTAAAACAAAAATAAACTTTCATACTATAAGATCAAATTATCATAAGACCAGAAGGGAATGGGGGAGGAGATTGGGTAATACAGGTAAAAAGAGGCCTGTTGTATGGTGAAGGGTAGAATTGAAATTTTCCTGTTGAACTTAAAGTAGAACATACAGATGTTGATTTATAATGATATACACCTGAAACTTACATAGTGCTACAATGCAATGTTACCTCAAAAACAAAAAATCAAGGATTTTAACATGTGAAATAAACCTCTGTTTATAAAAAAGTCTCAATCAGATATACCCATTTGTGAATTATTGATTAGAGGTGTGATTGAAGCCATGGGGATGAAAAAACTGACAATAAAGTGAGAGTGTGATTTAAAAAAAAAAAAGACCTAGAACCAACAGTTGAAGAGAATCAACATGTAATGGTTGCGTGGAGGGGATGAGCCTATGGAGGAGGCAGAGGAGTGGCTACAGGGGTGGGAGAAAGAACAGAAAATATTGTATCTACAGAAGTCACAGAAGAAAATTATTTAATAAGGCAAAATAATTAAAAAGGTCAACTGTAACTATGAGGGAAAGTAAAATTTACAGTAAAAACTTATTCACTAGTTTGGGAAACACTGAGGTTATTGAAGAGATAATATTCAAAATGTTTAACAACCAGTATAGCATCAACCTGACCAATCTGAAGGGGTGGTAGGATCACAGTGTTAGAGCAGCAAACTGAAGTCTCCCCTTCTGTACTAGACCCTTGCCTTTAAGTCGTGGATCAAGCAAGGGGAAGTTGGAGAGATTCTGAGAAAGGAGCCTAGTATCTCCAATGATAGAAAGGCACTGTCATAACATCTTGTTGAAGATACCTTCATAATATCTTCTAGATACAGGAAAAAAATTCTCCCAAAAGGACAAAAGAATATTAAAAGTTGGCCAATGAAGATTATATGTATCAAGCAGAGAATATGTTTTAAATAATTTCCTGGATATTCGAGTCATAAAAAGGATGAAAATGTGTTGTCAAACAATCATTCAGGTTAAAGCATTTTGAAGAACAAAGCACCAAGTATACCGCCTATACACAATAGTCAATCAATAAGTAGTAGGTATTATGTGATAATATAAGAAATAAAATATGTCAGAAAGTGATAGGTTGAAGAATAAATATACATAGCAGTTGCTGGATAATGCCACTCTAAGAAAAAAGGAATTGATCGATGACAGTAAAATTGCATGTAAAATGAATAGCAAAAAAGCTTCAGTAGCCCATATGGATAATTTTCTCTGAAGATTTACTGTGTTCATTATCTGAATTTTGCACTTACATCATCTTGTTTCAAATTACTTACAATTGTATTTGTTTTGCGCCCATTTTCCTAATAAGATTGTAGCTTGGTTGAAAGCATGTGCTTTGGGATTTGTATGCTGGTTCTGCCATTTGCTAGATGTGTGATTTGGGGCAAGTTACTTAATCTAGCCAATTATCATTTTATTTTCCATCTGAGAATTGGAGTTAACAGTCCCAATTTCAAATAGATGTTGTGAGTATTAATAGAAAATACATAAATTTCTCCACAGAATGTCTGGCATCTAACAAATGTTCAACGAATGTTTAATAAATGGTAGATATTATTATCAAGCAGAGACCAACTCTGCTTTATGCTCCTTTGGGATACTTATACCTTCTGTAGATCACAAGTTTGTCAATAGACTATTAGCCCAATGGTTCTAAACTAGGGACAATACCAACACCAAGGGCTTTTTGTGATTATGTGTGTATATTCTGCACTATCACAACATTGGGGGATATCTACTGAGTAAAGGTCAAAATGGCAAGTAATTCTTCTACATGAAAAGATATTGGCACCTATTTGAAGCTAAGTACAAACTCCTAATTGGGTGGTTAACTCTGGATGATAATTAAGTTTAAATCAGGTACAAGACTGGAATTTATTTCACTCAGAATCACATTTCAGAGCTAGATGAAATCACTATTCTGGAGATGTACTTAGATGGGAAACTTGTACAGTCACCTTAGGCAGGCCTAAAATGACAACACTGAGACAATTATATAGTTCAAACCCATTTTTTCCCCTCTGGATGACAAAAAAAGTGATGCTCAAAGCTAATTAGCAACTTTAATGTATCCTAGATGTTCCCTTCTGAATGTTAACCTCACAGCTTATAAGTTATTATAAGTCATTTGCCTACCTAGCTATTTACCTCTATGTTTCAAGACACATAACTCTACTTTTCATTAACAGTTATTTTTTGGACACCTATCATGAGCAAGTTCTAAGTTACAAACTGGGAGAAGCCATGAAAATGGCAGTTACTGTTCAAATCTCAGAGAACTTACATGCAAGTGGGAGAGAACAACTAAATATACAAAAATTGGTTGAGAAAGGTACATGCTTTATGGGAATATACAGCAAAGAACTGTTGTAGAAGTCAGGGCAGGTACTCCTAATGAAGGGATACTTTCAGATAAGAGAGAAGATGCTATTCATGCAAAAAATGGAAAAGAAAATATTTCAGGCACAGAAAAGAGCACATAAAAAGCCCAATAGTGGTGCATGGGTGAATTGGTGGTAAGAATTTTACAGGGACTCTACCTGAGAGGAGAAAGCATACATTGTACAAAAATGAACAATGATGTAATATATATATATATATATACATATATATATATATGTATATATGTATGTATCTATATAAAAGCCCAGCAGGGAAAATGCCTGGACTACTGAGGGCACTGACTGAAGGTAATGTTTGTGGGAGCTCAGAATCCAGGAATGC